GTATGGTCTGAGTCATCTCAGCAGTCATTGTTATATGGTCATGGCAAGACATACTGGATGGTGACCAAATTTGTTAAACAGGTTAATGGGGAGCTCCTAAGTCCAAAGTTGAATAAGTACTAACTTAGTTTTATCAGTGACCAATTATGGCTTCATGCTGTGGAAAGCTTCAAATAATGTGGTATATGTCATAAAATGTTCATGTGGGAAAGAACGAAACCTCCACTTTTTCCATGTCGTCATAATGCTCTGTCTTTGCTTTTGCATAGGCAGAATCAGGCCATTTCAAGTAATAACCAAGTACTGCTATGTAAACTGAACATGTGTAATAGAGGGATCCTATACCGACATGTTTTTTCTTTTAAATTGAGGAATAAAAACCTGACTGAACTAGGTACTTGTAGCCTTGCTTTGTTTCACGGTGCAGGGCTGTCGTCTTTTTAATGGCTGTCAGTAAATCTTGCAGCACCAGCACTCTTATTATGAATCCTCTTTCTACTCCAGTTTTTCCCATAACCATGCAGACTTTCAAAACTGCTTTCATTTTCAGAACTGCTTTGCTTCAGGTGTACAGCGATACACACCCATGATTATATTTTGCATTGTTAAAGTTACTTAAAACCCTGCTATGTATGGTGGATAGTTGCATTCAGAAAAGCAGTATGGTCCACATTACAGGGGTTTTTTTTCCTTTGGAGAAGTAACAGTTATTAACGGATTACTTTTCATTGCATGTATGGGAACTGCAGCTGCAAATCATGTACAGTTCTGTCTAGAATTCACTATATTTAAACGTGGGCTAGTGCCAAAAAAGTACTGCTAGTCCAAGTTATCATTCACTGGATAAGGGTCAGACAGTGAACTTCAAAGGGGAAAGTACTGAACATCCTTTCCATTTAACTCCATTGAGTGATGTCAGGAGAGGCATAGAGTTCAGGTAAAACGATGGCATTCATGTTTCAAGGCTCAGCAACTGACAGCCTGTCCGAGTCTACAGTTGTTCTGGTGGGACAAGTTGTGGCTGTTTTAAAGAATTAATACTTTTCCCCCACTTCCAGTGCTGGACCAGAGGCCCACAGAAAGAAGAAAAAACATCTTCTGTGCAGTGAAAATGTGGTTCTACTATTTTTGTATTTCCTGAAATAGGAACGAGAAGTCTATTGTTGTTATGTCACAAGGGGCCAACCAAGAACAGGGTCTAATTGTGCTAGGCACTGTACGAAGTAACCATCGTAGTAACTGTAAAAGTACAGCCTAAACAGACAAGACAGACAAAGGGTGTAGGGGAAGAGGATATTATCATGTAAGCAAAGTGGATAATGCGATGGCTTGTGAACATCACACATCTAGTACGTGCTATTAAATGTTTTTAGGTAAGGTTTAGGAAAGGTTTTGGTAAATTGATAGGCAGGAAAGAGGCCCATAAGACTATAGCGAGGGGAGGAGGGATGGTGGAGGAGTAAAGCTGATGACATAGCGATAGTAGCAGCAAACAGCCAGCCAGAGTAGCAGAGAAAATGTCCAGTCAAAGCTATAGGAAATATACTGGTAACAAAATTATCAGTGCCCTGCAATTCCTGCTTAAACTGCAGACTTCGGTCTCTGGCAGAATCCTATATGCTGGATTGCCAATAGCTATAGCTAAGTAATCCATAGCCAATAGCTATAGCTAAGTAATCCATATTACATTTCCAGTTAATAAAAATGATCATACCACATCTCAAGATAACATTTGCACAAAATAATTTATTGTTATCGTAAATTTAAAATAACCCCAATTTTATGCCTTGAACATATTTGTATGCTAGCAGATAGAATGGATGGCTGCATACATTTAAAATATCAATAAAGTTGTCTTCCCTATACGAGCCATTTCACAGCAGTATATGCCTTGTACTTTTAGAAGTGAACTAAAAGAATTAGGTGCCTTCTGCAAATTTCTTTCATGACTACATCTATAATATGTTTAGGACAATAACTGTTCCTGCATGATGTGGTACTTGATGAACATTATCAACCAAAGAGTGTAGACTTGAGTGCTGAACCTCTAACCAGCAACATTTCCCTAAATAGCGTCTAATTTGTACAGGGTAGTTTAGTGGGTTTAGGGTATCAAATGGTAAAAGGAATG